GGCTGCCTTTTGTGTAGTTTGCAATATTTGCCTTTATTTATCTGAAAAAGTCTCATGTTCCTTAAGTACATCTAACCTGTTGAACTTATTATGGGAAATAAATATTTAAATCGTTATCGCCTGAAATGAAAAAAACATATCGTGATATGAAAAAAATCTCATATCGCCCAGCTCTAGCCCCCTGATAAACAAAGAAAAATGATAAAGGATGCCCTCAGTGGCTGAGCAGATAAAAGCCTTTATCAAGCAAGACTGAGAAAACATTTTTCTTACAAACTACGACACGTGACCATCGTAGTTGCTGAGCACTTACACGGTGTTGCGGGCTTCAAATTCAAACATTTGATGTTGAAACTGTGCATATAGTATTTTAATTAAATACAGCATTGAAAAAAATTCCCAATCACTGTATTTCATTTTTAACTGCATCTCGCAGAGCACCACAACTTTTTAGAAACAGCTGAATTTTAAAGAGAAACTGTAACACATCCACTGCCACCTTTTTGAAAGCATCTCCTTCAAACAAAGCAACCCTACACCATTACTATTACCCTAAAGAGGCTGAACAAATTACTTCACACATTTTTGACAGAGTAAGGTCAGTCCCCTTTTTAACACTCCCCAGCTCCTCACCTCTCTCTTCTAAACACCTTAACTCAGCAGCATTTGCCAGAGGGCATTTTGTTTTACCATGTAGCCCCAGGGTGACCCATGAATCCGTGTGACCTCTGAAGGATAAAGCCGGGAGACATAATTCATCCAGGCAGCTTCAACAAGTCCTCTCTGTGTTCCCCCTCGACCTTAAAACCTGGCAGTAAATTTAGTGAACTACAAGTAATAAACTCTCTCCCTGGAGGGCTGAGCTTCTCAAGGTAGGAGCGCTGATCTAGCACTACCATGATAGCATTTGACCAACTCTTTCATTATAATTCAAAAGGTGAACCAGATACTGGAGGGGTATTATTATTCGAAAACCTTGATGTCTGCCCATGAGATTGAGTCTGGGTAGCGCACTGCAAAGCTGACGCAGCTGAGCAGAACTGGGGATTGACAGTAAAAGATGGGGAGCTCTGAAGTGTGTGAGGGCACGGTCGTGGTTATTAACCCTTGTCACCAGCACTTTCAGGCCATTATTTACTCCTGTTTCATTCACACTAATCCTGGTATTTCTTATAAAAAATGCCTAAAAGACTGTCGGTGTATGTGCACACCCTGTTCTGACGCTCGCAAGTCCTGACCTTTTGCTCTTTGGCCTCTTCTACTTCAGATGGTCCATTCCAACAGTCAAGATAACACATAAACACACACGTATGATTGGTTGCATGCAAGCAGATGGATTCCTGCCTGTGACATAGTGCAGTAAAGGGACTGTTTAACTGGCAATTCCCCATGCTGGCTGTTTTCAGAGCCATGATTCAGCAAGTTGAGGTTGTCACCTGTTGGGAATACACAGCTGACACCTGTCTGAATTTCCTTTATGGTCTCTCAACAACAAGCTAGTTAGGAATGAAAGTTACAAAATAAAAAGAAGATTGGAACTGCATGATGCTTTTCATGTATAATCAGATGCATGAAAGTGGTTAAGTTGGAAGGTGCCAAAAAAAACCCAAAACTTAAATAAACACTCATTTTAGTACAAATAATTGAATAACTTTAATCATGTAGATTATCGTAAGGTTATATGGAGGAAATAGTGAGCAAATGAGAAGAAGCTACTTGCTTTCTTTTAAAGTAGATATTAAATTTGCTGCTATCTTTGGAAAATTTAATTAAAATGTTTATAAAAGCTTAGGTGATTAAAATCTGGCCGTGTGGGTAATGGACCTGGGTATTAGATGGAACTTTTGAATTCTTGATCAAACACTTACAGATATGAGACATACTTTGGTGTTGTTTGACTGCTTCCACTGATCCTGTTTGTAAGATGCAGTGTCTGATATATAAAACCCTCCTGGTGTTTTGCATCTTTTTTCTTTAATGGCATTGCCAAGACACCAACAACAACAAAAAACTCAACAAAAAAAACCACACACATGTTAAAAGGAACTTACTGGCTACTTCCAGAGAAGCATTGTGACTGATCGCCTGGCCCAGATAGTTTCGGGCCACACACACGTAGCTGCCATCGTCTGGCTTGCTCCGTCGTCCATGGACGATACGCAGGAAGAAGAGGGACCCACTGGGAAGCAGCATGCGGTGGGAACGGGGATTTTCCCGATCCGTCTCAACACGCTCCCCGTCTTTGTACCATTCCACCGTAGGCGGCGGACGGCCCTCTGCCTTACAGTTGAGAGTGGCTGGCTCCCCTTTGGACACAATGAGGTCAGAAGGGTGTTCCACAATGCGGGGAGGGAAGTCTTCCTGGCGAAGACGAGACCCTAGAGATGAAGAATGGCACAAGATTTCAGGCATAGCATTTATTAGAAATTAAGCTACATATAGATGCATGTTAGCCGAACACAAAAACACCCCAACAACGAGCCACAGTGAAATATAACAGATAATCCTTCCACTCAATAAAGAGTGGTGGTAATCAAAACAGCAGCAGTTCTAAAGGAATTAGACATGGCACATTATTATTGATGTGTAAGTGCCTTCATTAAGCAATAATCCAGTCTGACAGTGTAATTACCACACGAACACGTCCCCTCTCATACTACACATCCCTCCCCATAATATGTTTTGTTCTTGTTTAGTAGTTTGGAACCCCACGAGGCAGTGTAAATTAAAAAGAAAAGAAAAAGATGATGACACGCAAAATCCTCAGGAAGTAATATCTTTGAAAGCATGTCTAGCCTTCAAATGTGTATTTATAAGACGTAAGTATTCACAGCTTTTAAGAAAATCTTTTAAGCTGAACTATAATAGGATTACGGCATTATCTGTGGTTCCACTGAACACTGGGATGTAGATTTTTGCGTTTATTGTGCTAGTTTAAATATTTAGCCTATTTAACTGTAGTAAGACTGCACTTCAGTTAAAACTGAAACGAGTGGCAGAAAGATCTCCAATAAGTATACTTTATAAATGACCCAGGGAATTTATAGTTTCCAAAATATTTTCGTGTTACCTCTATGGAGCTTCTGTGGTATTTTTTGCAGCTGCCTGTTCTGAATGCCTGTCCTCAGGATAAACCATCACTTTCTCCCCAACCTATTCAGTTGCATATATATTTTTACACACATTTATTTATGATATGTGTTTACAGCTGAAGCCAATTTCGCCATCGCCTCAGAAATTGTTAAACAAACCAAGATGAAATGAGAAATCTGCAGCCACACCTACACAAAACGCCCACAAAACCACCTCTAATCCATGAAATACTGTGGAGATGTCAGTCATACTGGTCTTTAAAAGAAACCATGCAAGAATGAATCCCAGTGAAGCAGAGGACAAAGAAAAACCTCCCTAATGAGAGAGCCAGGTACACAACTCCAATGCCTCTGTACATCTTACATTCTATTCATCTCTTTCCAACCCCCATCACACTGAAGCACACACACTAGCACACTACCAACAGCTCTGCAAACAGACCATTACTCATTTTCTGTCCTCTGTCCCTCCTGTATTTTCTGAATCTTGGGTGGATTCTGCAAGACTGCCACAGGTGTTATTGTTTTCCAGAATTAGTTTAGATTACCTGTAACCCTAACACAAAATGCACAACTAGGTGTGTGCAAAGGCGGTAGCATCGCGCAATAGAAGAGGGAGAACATAAATGGCCATTTTGCAACTGCTTTTTACCCGTTCTATGACTGTGGAAACACTTCTGTTCTTTCCTGCTGTTTCTAACAGTACTTTATACAGCCTTCAGTCGGTCTTGCATTAATGTACCAATGGCCCTGTAAAGCTGATAATCACACTGTGCCAGAGAGTGATGAGCTCCTACACTCCCGCTGCAAGCAATAAATCCCACACAGACAAGTGTTTACTCAGATAGATAACACCTTGTGAAATGGGTGAGAATGTGATCTACTGGGTAGTGTGGTGCAGTTCTGGTGTTTGTATAAAACTGAATTTTCTCAGGAAGAAAAGAAAATAGTACATAGAATAAACCCCCTACCACACAGTACACAAACTGATAAGAACAAAAAAGTGAGGATTGTGCAGGCTTATCATTAAAACTGAAAGATATGCTGGAATTTGTATGTTTTGCATCCACAATACTCCATAATTCATGGACAGTAGCCGATTGACTAAATGGATGAAGACAGCTGAGATAAGTCCTCCCACTCCATGAATTTTAAATTTTTTTATTACCTTTCACCAAAGTATTTCCTCTGTCTACTGGTCATTTTTTTCTGTCAAATGATTGATCTAACTGATACGTGTTAATGAACGCAAAATTTAGCAAAAGTTGATTTCTACATAAAACAGATAATTACACATGTAAAGGAAAAAATTATCCTCAGAATCAAGCAGGAGCTCCACAGCAGTTTCTTATTTAACAAGAACACCTTGGCATGGCGGAAAAGTAGCCTGAAGGCATGTAGCAATGATACAAATCTGTTTAAACAGATGCCTGAAAATGAATGCGCTGAATTTTTAAGCATGGAGCATGATTTTGGCCATCTGAGTGGGCTTTTACTGCAAGCTGGCAATCACATGGAGAGATACAGAGGGAGACATTGCTCAAAATGCAGTCTTAAAACTATTGCTTCTGTGTCTGAAAATGATGTATCGCTTTCAGTATCTTTTAAAAAAAGCTCCTGTTGTCCTAAAGAGATCAGTGCACGCAACACAGAGCTAAAGTCCAGTTATCTCTTGGAAAAGGTATAACAGACAGCCAATAGCTAAGTCACGCTAGAATGACAATAGTACAGCAACACTCTTTGCAACTAGGAAATATTGGTGGTTTTTCAGTGATTGCACTCAGTGACAAATTATAAGTAGCTGCAGTGGTCAAGCCTCCAGGCAATCACTTTCAATTGCAAGGTGACTGCACAGGTCGTCTGGTGGGAGGCAACTCATCTCCAGAAAGTTGTTTTTGGACTCAGGCTAACTGCGATCAGATTGTCAAAGGTTTACAAATAACAGCCGTCTAATTTTTAAATGCACACAGATGCAGACAAGATGTTGCAATCAACTTGAGTCAGTCTGAACTTATGAGTAAAACTTGTCTGTGACATGTCTCTTTGCAGTATGGGGCTCAACCTGTTGTCAACTGGTTGTATTCTGGTTACCTACTGTCATTTTGCAGTTAAATCGCCATCCTGCAGCACCAAAGTCACTTTGAAGATGGCACTAATTGCAAGTGGCCTAGTCTAACAACTATTTCAGAGACAAGGAGATTGCAGGTTCACTGCATACAATTGCAGTAACTCACTAATGTGCTGTGATCTTCGACTACTGTTTTCCCTAGTACGACTGTAGCACAAACTGGAAGCCTTGAAACACTGACTGTAGACTGACTGAGTCTAAATGATCAGAGGGCTTTCACAAGGTTCACAGTACAGTCACATGCAATCAATAGTGATCAAATTAGAATCAACTGGAAATTTTTCCCCACCAAGGGACCATTTGGAACCACTGTACAAGTTACAAAACCCATTGAACTATCCTATTTTTTCTTTTGCAGCTGGGATTTCTGCCTACAAAATGATGGTTACAATGTTGAAGCAATGCTAGTTAGTCTCCAACACTTGTGGTGTTTTGAGCAGTTGCTTGGTAATGATATATATGATACTACGTTTATATGTTGGCCATGACAGTGTTAATATTGCATTGTTTATCGGTGGTAAAACATTTGTTGTTAATGTGAATTTCTGTTTCATGTAACGTTTGTGTGTGTGTGAAGATTGCCATTTTCACTTGTACTATCCCAAATAAACTGCATTTAATTGCCAGCTTGACCCCATTCAATCACAAACCCTCCATCTTATACAGTATATGAAGGAATATTAGGGCAACATTAAGAAAACAAAAACCTTTTTGAGAATAAAGTCAGAATTTCCAGATTAAAGTCGAAATTTCGCAGTAATATTGCTTTGTTTTTTTTAACGTGGTCCTAGTAATCTGTCATATTTACACCTTTCCCACTAGTAAAATGTAAATGCTACGCCTTAACATTGAGAATGGTAAGCTATAGCACTTACACCTTACCATTCTGAGCATCTTAGATGAGCATGTACATGTTAACATCTTAAGGTTTATTTATGCATTTCTACATACTGCGCCAAATCGCAAGAGTCCCCTCGAGGGGCTTTATATTGTAAGGTGAAGGACCAACAATAATACAATATAATAATTTAAAGCAGTGGTTGATTAAATGTAGGTGAATCAGTAAGCTTCTGAGGATTCATCCTCTGGACACCATTAACATTTGCACTTAAGATGTGCACTGAAATTGCTAGAGCTCCGGTGGGGGGGGGAGTAAATTGGGTAAGTAACTCTCCAGTAGCACAGCCTGTGAAGGTAGCAGCACAGAGCAGCATCTCTAATGCATCATTCTGATCCCACAATTGAAGCTGGAAACAATGCTGCTTGGATGAAGAAGATGCTTAAAAAGCTCTGAATCATAGAGAAAAAAGATTTAGCAATCTTAACCACTACAAAGAAAAGCTAAACACATTCTGCAGCTTTTCAAACCAAATATTTAAAAACAGAAAAGGCAATCCCACCAATACTGCTGTGGGCAAAAACTGTAAATATTTAATCTGAGTGCAATTTTACACAGTGTCTAGACATTTAAACCAGTATCAGAACAATACAAACAAGGCAGCCAGTGTGGCCTTCGGTCCCTGCTCACAACACACATGCTGTTTTCCTTGTTCTTAATTGTGTTGGGCTGATGCCTAGGGGTCCACAGAAGTCCCTGAGCTCCTTGGCATTACTGAAAGGCAATATCAGCCTGCCACAAGTGGCCCCCAAAAAGACCAGGCTTTATCTGCAAAGGGCCAGCAGCCAGCAGACAATCAGTATGCAAAAACATGCACAAAGGTGCACAATGGAGTGCACACGCACACAACAAAGGTCATTTGTAGCACCTATGAACCTAAAAATCTCTTTTTCCCTTCTTTTTTTTACTTAGTCGTTCCTGAGGCAGTGCTGTTGTCTTGTATGGATGTCTGTGTAGTTTTGTTTCAGACAGTGAAGAAAAGAGGTGAATAGTGCATCTCTCTGGAGAATTAAATGCAGTAGAAAGTCAAACTATATTTGGATAACAAGGCTGGTATTTTGTATGCCATTCAAATTCTGAATATGTAAGGGAGAAAAGAATGCAAGGGGGGGATATATAATAGGAGGGGAAAAGATGTAATAATAGGGGAAGAGGGGCCTTTAAAATAACAAATCATAAGCACTGAGATTGTAATAACACAATGGGAATGTAATTTAGCACAATGTTGGTGGTCTTAGGTAGCCCACCCCAGTGTCATCT